TCTCTCTCTCTCTCTCTCTCTCTCTCTCTCTCTCTCTCTCTCTCTCTCTCTCTCTCTCTCTCTCTGTCTCTCTCTCTCTCTCAGCAGTTTAAAATATTTTATCTTTGAAGATGTAAACATTTGAATTAAAGATAATATATAGTATACTCATTGAAGACATTGTTTTGTTTTATACTTCAGGTAGTCAGAACAAATTTTTGGCTGTGAAATATCTTTTTAAAATGTTTTATTCTGTGATAGGTATATCTAAAATGTACTAAAATCTAATTAGAATGTTTTATGCTGCAAATAATTTTGGAGCAGATAATGGAGCTAAATTGTAGTTTCATGGTCTCTAGAGCTTTTGGTTCCGTCTAATCATGTAAAGGGAGGTTCCTAAGAGAAATTGTAGTTTATAAAATCGAGGTAATGGAGAGAACATTTCAGCGTGGGAGCATCCTATCCATGAAACAGGAAAGAAGGCACAAGGAAAAAAAGAAATAATAGAATGAAAAAAAAAAATGGAAACAGCTTTTGTAACTAAGTGGGAGTACAATTTAAGTTTTCACATCACAATAGAAATGTGTAGCATGGTTTATGGGGGAAATATAAACATGACTGGCTTTGGCAGAATGATTTACTTGGGCTGCAAAGATAGCTCAGCAGTCTAAGCCCCTGCCTAGGATGTGCAAGGACCCAGGTTTGATCCCCGATACTACATGCCCGATGGGCCCCAACCCAGGCATACTGGCAAGGACCCAGGTTTGATCCCTGGTACCCCATACCTTGTGGGCCCCACCCCAGGTGTGCTGAGCTGGCCACCAAGACCAGGTGTGGTAGCATACCCTTATAATCCTAGTGCTGCAGAGGCTGAAACAGGAGGATCACTACAATTTCGAGGTGCACAGTGAGACCCTGTATCAAATACATAAAAAATTTAAAAAAAAATTAAAAAGAATAACTTGCTGTGTTTGCTTATATATCAAATTGTATAAATTAAATATATACTTTTTCATTAATCTTGTATCGTTAAAGTAGATGAGATATGTATGTAGTATATATGTCAATGTTAGGTAGATGATTGGTGGAGAAATATTTAATATGTGGGTTATAGGCAGGTAAATAATTGATTACAGATAATAAAGATGTAGATGATAAACACATTGGCCAAAACTGGAATATAGATGTAAGTAGTTATATAAATAATTTTTCAGTGATACATAGTTACATAGGTGACAAGTGAATGCATAGATACTTGATAGGTAAATAAATAAAAATAGAATGAAATGGGGATATATAGACAGGTATACAAAAGGTCATTGACCACATATAATCGACAATTTTGAATTGTTTATAATTTTGCTATGATCAAAAAGTGAATAATTCCGTATGTTTGTGGACATCTAGAGATGGTGCTACGATTTGACACTTGGGGAAATACTGCAATAATATTTTTTTAAATATTTATTTATTTTTATTTATTACATTTATTTATTGTGTGTGTGTGTGGCCAGCTCAGCCCACCAGGGGGCGGGTCTGGCTGGCATGTGGTGCTGGGGATCGAACCGC